TATTGGGCTTCACGCTGCAGCGATATAGCATCTGGGATGTAGGAGCCCCTCCGGAGTCTGCACATCCCCAGTGAGTGCAGTCGACTATATATTTATGGATCGGGCTGCACGCCGCAACAGTTATTGTGAGATATCTATTGAGCGGGCGTGCTGAGTGTGAGTGTTGGTTGATGAGAATTGAGTCACGAGTGACTGAGAGGCTTGTCGAGGGTCTTGTTTATGAAATTAATATTTTCACTCTTCTTTTATACTGAGCCTCTATTGAAAATGTTGAACAAATGCTTTAAATAACTTTCATTGAAATGAAATTCAAATGTTATAACTCCAGTACGTCAGGAACCATCAGAAAAAGAAAGACTATCCTAGAAAAAATTGTATAACTTGGGCCTCAAAAAGCGATCGGAAAGCGAAGCCCTTCCTTCCAATCCAAGCCGGCGGTGGCTAAGAAGCTTGATCACTTTGTTGAATAAAGCAAGTTGACGTGATGATCGAATCTGGGTGAAGTGTCGCTACTTGGCCCAGCGCTCTGAAAAGACAAATTGCCAATCTTTTCTTTCATCTCGGGAGAAATACGATCGGGAGAAATCCGTTGCTTGTTCCTTTCGTGACTCAAACAGCCGGTTTGCGAGATGTTCGAAATTTAATTACCGATTTGATCTTGCTATTCCCACTGAGGTTTTTATGTTATGAATTGTATATAATTTTAAATGCTCGTCACTTCACTCAGCCTTTATTTATAATTGTTACTTACTGAGTTGGCGTACTCACGTTACTCCCTGCGCCTTCTGTGCAGATCCAAGCGCCAGAGCATCCCAGTGAGAGCTGATCTTTCCTTTAGAGCATTTTCAGAGTTAGCAAGCTAGCTGCACGGTGTCCGCAGCCTTGCCTTTCTCTTTCCTATCTATTAGTATTTATTTTTATCAGACTCATCTTGTATTGAGCATGCAGTGTCAGATTGTATTTTAGTGACTCATGACTAGTGACACCGGGGTCGGGCAGTGTTTGATGTTTTGCATATTTGTTTCCGCTTGTTTTGAAATGTTTTAAATGAAAGATTTGTGATAATATCTGATTAGTAAATGAATTAAGAAAAAGACATGTTTTACGTTATAATTGTCGAATCGACTTGCCTAGTACTGCGAGCGGCGCCACCACAACCGAGGTGATTTAGGGTCGTGACAAGTTTTCAATTTGTCAAATATTTTTCCGTTTCGAGTTTAATTTTTGTTGTTTTGATCAAATAGGACAGGGAGACTGATTTATCGAAAAATATAGTAGAAGATTTTGGAATTCTATCGATATCAGAGGTAAGAAATTTATTTTTGTATATTCCAATACTATTATTCACTTCTTCCACATATAGCAGAACCGAGAATCTATTGGAAATAGTCTCTCTATCCTCACAAGGTAGGGGTAAGATCTACGTACACACCACCCTCCCCAGACCCCACAGTGTGAGATAATACTGGGTATATTGTTGTTGTTGTTCTACAGATAGTAGAAGATTTTGTACGTTTCAATTTATTTTTAAGTATTTTTTGTTCTTTCAAGTTGTTTAGTAATGTGTACGTCTTTAGTTCTCGAAATAATTTTAGATAGAAATAGTTCCTTCAGATAAACTGTAAGTTATTTAGTAATGTGCAAGTCTTTAGTCCACAAATAACCTCAGATATACTTATAAATAGTGTTGGACAAGAGTTGCTTCATATTTTTGCTTCTTTTTTCCCTGGTTTATAGGAGTTTTCCGTAATTTCTATCTTCTATGAGATTTCTATATTTATAGGTCACATATTTTCTTATACAGTAAAGGATTTTCAATGACAGATTTTTTCTTGGGATATCAATTTATGAGTATTGAAACTAATGACAGGTACAAATCAAATTATTATATTTTAGATCAAGGACTTTGCCTTACTAATTTCTCCAAATTAGATTCTTTTCGACAAATATTTTAGAGTAAAATGTTTCCTTTTTGATAACTTACAGTGAATCTATTTTCTATCATGATGCTTATAGTTTGTTGACTTCCATGTCTTTGAATCTACTTATTATTGTTGGGACATATGATTATGACTATGCAAATACATTTTTTGTTCGGGGATTTTCAAGTTTGGTAGTGTTTATGATTATAGATGGCTTTTGTTTTATGTATTTATTGCTTCATAGTTAATATTATGTAGTATAATAATAGAGAACTGATATTTTTTATTTATATTCTGAAAGGTTTATCAGCTGCACTTGAAAGTTAATACTTTCCTATGAATAAATCTTGTTTTAGAAAGACAAGGAACACCAATGAATATTTGTTTGGTTTAAATCAGTTATTAGATTTTGCATTTGCTAATGTTATTGTAGGAGATAGAATAAAATGACCTTGTCCTAAATGTGGATTCGCAAAGTGGCAGACTAGAGATGTAGCGCTCGATCATTTGATTTGCAAACCATTCCTTCAAAATTATGTCACTTGGAGTATTCATGGTGAAAGAAATGTATTGCCTAATTCTATAAATATTGAGGTTATACAAGATACATTACCTCCTGAAAATCCTGTAGAATTATTGATCAATGAAGCATTTGGGGGCCTAAGACACGATGGGGTTGATGTAGGTCCGTCACAAGTAGTGGGTAGTGAAGAAAGGTTAAATAATGATCCTGCTTCAAATGACAAAAACTTTTTCGAATTGCATAGAGATGGAAGTCAAGAATTGTATGAAGGGTATACTCAAAACTAGAATTGTTATCAAAATTGTATCATATAAAGTGTTTGTCTTGGCTAAGTGACAAGGAAATGACCATGATACTAGATTTGTTGAGGGACGCATTTACATTTTCACGAATCCCTGATTCTTTTTATGAGGCCAAATAAAATCATCAGTAAGCTTTGTCTTGATTATATCAAGATAGATGCTTGTCCAAATGATTGTATGTTGTTTTGGGGGAATGATGCTAATGATCAGGAAACATGTAAGTATTATCACACTTCTAGATAGAAGCATAACAAGAAGAGAAATGAAGATCTTGTGTCTGATACAGGTAAGAAGAAAACCAAGAAGCCTGCAAAGATTTTGTTTTACTTTTCATTAAAACTAAGGCTGCAGAAATTGTTCATGTGCTCTAAAATATACAAATACATGAGATGGCATACTGAGGATAGTAACAAAGATGGAATCATGAGGCATCCTAGAGATGGTGAGGCATGAAAGAGGTCTGATACAATTTTCTTGAATTTGTTTTTGAACCTCAGAATGTTCGGCTAGGACTAGCTAGTGATGGCATCAATCCTTTTGGCACGATGAGTACTAATTATAACATTTGGCCAGTTGAAGCAAATCATGTATTTTTTTGAAAATTTACATTGAAATGCATAAACATATGATTATCCACTTACATAATTGACTGAAATGTATCTTATTGTTAGAACACGTGTAAAAAGAATACTGAAAATCGGAAGAAATAAACAGTTCCACACACCGGTGACTCCAAACCTAATTCTAGAAGAAGCGCTGAAATGGTGTAAGATGTCACTTCATTTATCTTACTTTACTATTAAAATTTTAGATTATGTATCTATTTCTTTTACTTTAGTTATCAGACTTATTTTTGTTTTCATACATAGATGGCTGAGACAGGGAGAAAGCCTAGACAAGCACACTTTATCTCGCTACACATACGAAAAAAGATGGATCAAACTGGTGAATCAATAGGTTCTGCTCCTGCCTTCACTTCCCGGAGGAATCCTATCATTCATGGTGAAGATATCGTATAATAAGAAATTACTTAAGTCATCGATTCGAATCCTGTCCCCACTGATAAGTGTGGATTTTGACTACTTATTAGCACCTTTTTGCTTTTGTTTTAGTCCGAAAATATTAATTTATATTCCCGAAATTAATAAAAGTGTGCAAATTGCAAGAATGTTGGAAGTTGTAGCTCCCATGATGAAATCCGACTCAAAAAATAGTGTTCAGAATCACAAGGCAAGAAGGGGCGCATAACTTAAGAAGTACGGTTCGCAGAAGGATATCTATGGCCGCAGATCAAGTGCAAGAGCCCATGAGTATTTTAGCTAATGTGCAGACTACACGTGAATTGTGCGGCTGCAAAACAAGGTTTGCATTGACAAATGATTCAAAGCTCAGAGAGTGTGCAAAAGACCAAGATGTGAATCTTGCCTGAAGTGCGAACCACACAAGAATTGTGCGGGTGCAAAAGATGCTTTGCATCCGCAGACCAAAATTGTGCGGTTGCGGAATTCAAGACCTTGCCAGCTGAAGAAATCTGCGGACCGCACATGGAATTGTGCGATCGCAGAACCTCTCAAGGGGAATTTTTGTTAATAAATATTTGGCCACTATAAATAGACGAGATTTACATTGTTAGGTCAAGTTTCGAAGTTTGAGCTGTTGTAGCTGCTATAATTTGCTATTTTAGGAAGTTTGTGACTATTTTAGTGTTTAAAGATTATATTTTATCATTTTAATCTTAGATTATGAGTCTAATTAGTATTTCTTCATTTTTTCACTATGAGTAGCTAGATTATTACTAGAGTTGTGACCCAAACCTAGTGTGTAAACCATATGGGTACTTAATTTAATATTTGTTTATGATTGGATGTTGATTATTTAGCCTAGTTTATGCTTTAATTTTTGAATTAATTATTGCAAACATTAATTCATGCATTTTTTACTTGATCTTTACTTGAGAAAGAGGGACTTAATCTAGGATAACTTGACTAACAAAGAATTGAGCTAATTAAGAGGTTGATTAGTCTAACCAAAGGGTTCAAAATAGAGATAGTGAGAACACGACTTGAGCTCATATCAACTATTTAGTTTGAGACCCATTTGGGCTTGAGAAAGCCAATTTGGGCAAAATTCACTCTTTGATCAAGACGTATTGAGTGGGCAATGTAAAGTTGAGAACTATAATACACCTCAATAAATAAAACAAGTGTTAACGTATTTAAACCGTTAGGAAAACACCTAGGTTAATGTCACATCCCTAGGCTTTTTAACTATTTGAAAAAACATCAAAAATAATATTTTGCTTTTTAGTTTCTTCTCTTAGCTTATAATTGTTAGAGTAAAAGTAGAATTAGAGATCAAAACCAATTGTTTGGAAGTGCAATTTAGTTTTTCCATTTGCTTTCATCAAGTGTATACCCCTAACACCCATTGTAGCTCCCTATGGAAATCGACTCCGACTCTTGTTGGGTACTATTCTTCCAACGATCATTTCCACTCACTATTGGGTGCGTAGAATGTGGATCAATTTTTGTCGTCATTGCTGGTGAGTTAAAATAGTGTTAGCTATATATTTGGATTTGTTTTTGGAATATATTCTTTTCCTTCCGTGTTACTAACTTGTATGAGAAATTTTAGGTACAACCATGCTAGCAAACAATAATCTCGGAAATGTGCCATTAGGGGATGTGGATGGCAAGGATGAGCAAGTTGAGGAGGTACCTCTTGAACCTCAAGCCAACCGAAGAGGCGGGGTGCCTCATGACAATGTGTCCGCTCTACCCCCACCTCTACCACGAGCGGCTCCACGCCGGGTAGTACCCAATGAAGGAAATGCTAGTGAAATAGTCCCTCCCCATATTAGGATGGGCAACTTTCATATCACCAATGTGATGCTCATTTTGCTTGAGCAACGTGGTTTCTTCACCGGTACTCCAACTCAAAATGCTTATAAACATTTGAAAGGGTTTGTGGATACTTGCTGGGCAAGTAAGCAAACGAATGTCTCCGAGGATGCATTGAGGCTAAGGCTTTTTCCATTCTCTCTATGGGGAAAAGCTTTAGATTGGTTGGAATGATTGTCGAACTATTCAATTCACACTTGGAATGAGTTAGCCGAAAAATTTATTGCTAAGTTTTTCTCTCCTGGAAACATGGCTACACTTCAATAATGTCCCAACAACGATATGATGGAAAACATGATTCAACAAACATTCTATTGTGGGATTAACACAACCAACAAATGCATAGTAAATCAAGTAGCCAGTAGGAACTTCATGACTACACCTTATGCAAAGGCATGTGAGATTTTGGCAATCCCGGACGAATGTTCCACAAGGTGATCCGTGGAC